TATTTGATGACAGCAGGGTATGCTGGATCGACTCCTTGTTCCTTGAGAGCTTTAAGCACCGCGTTGTGTTCGACTGAGCAAAAAGCCTTCGAGTTAAAGAACATTTATGCAAAATGGCGCAGTTTGTGGCACAGAATGGATAGCGCTGTTGGCAAACAAAAACTGACTCTCGTCTGAAGGAAACTGTCTCTCGTTTAATAAAAAATCCCGTCTTATAACACTTCTAACACACATTCTTTTGTATTTTGAATAATTACGGACTTTTGCGCTCAGGAAAATCATGTTTCTGCATGTACGCCAGCATGTATTACTCAATTCGAGAACAAGGATTAGGCGAACTGAAATGCTGAGAGCAGTCCCTCGGCCGCTTTTGAAGCCACAAATTTGCTAACAACTTGTACCCTGATCAATTTATATCACAACTTCTCTCTCCGTGACCCCTTTTCTAATTTCAGACTCGTATTTTATATATCGAGAATCGACAAGTAATTGAACACGGGACTTTGGGCATACGATTCTTTGATACCGCACGAAGCAGAAAGCCAAGAAGTAGCTTTGAAATTTTGTTGGGTTTGACCTGCTCAATCAGGTTAAAATTCAGGCTGTTGCTGCTATAGATTGGAAACAACCACAAACTCAGTATTTCTGGTGGGTTATTTCTGTGGCCAAAGACATCATGAGTGATTTAAAACGAGTTTTCAAATCCTAGTGCTTCCTCAGCCGCAAGTCGAAGCCCACAGGAAAAGTGTTAAGGATTTAAGAGTTTTTGAGCTTTCCTGGATAGATTAGAGAAGAATCATGACGGACTTTCCAGAGCTTTAAGAGTATGTGCCTTCTGTTTATTGTTTTAAAGCTAGTATTTGCATTCATTGACTAAAAAATCCTAGCTGTTGGAGACGAAACGAACGTAAGGATTGCCAGCAGGCTAAATACCGGACGTGTCGTGAACGGAGCGCAAAAACCCTTTCTCGAAAAGGGTTCTGGATGGGAAGGGAATCGAACCATTCTTTTTGCATCCGGACGCAATGTGCTACCACTACATCACCGGATCTCGTGATCTAGATTCAACCTGGCAGCACGTCTACTGCGCATCTCCCTTTCAAGGTAAGACACATTTTTCTTTTCTGCGCATTTTCCTTTGTGATGTTTTCTTGGCCGGCTTTTCGTGGGTTTTATGCGATGGCGCGTAGAAAACTAGAAAAGGTTCTGTTATACAAACGAAGGATTTCGCTGTAAGTGTAGTTGAACAACGTTACAAACAAAATATCTGCATCATGATAAGACTATCTCAGTTCAGCCCACCAGAATACGCAATTTTCAAACAATCTTACCAGATATTAAATGACTGCCTTCACAACACAGCACATCCTGGCAAATTTTAGACGCTACTGCAACGCATTTCTCGGTGATTTTTTAACAAAATTCAGCAAGACTTCTGAATTGAATGGTGGCTGGAACGCCTTTTCCACATGCATACAAAAAACATCAAGTGAGCTGGCATATCAAACAAGGATGCTGTTAAGGTTAATAATGACCAATGCAATTTTTTACCGCAGCGATCAGCGAGTACATTTTGCGCTGTCCAGAAAGTGCTAGCAAATCCAAGAAATTAAAGTACTGAGTGAGTCGCAACATGCGGAACGATATTTAGCAGCAGTAATGTGCCGTTTTTAAAATACCGTTTGATGCCGCCAGAGCTTATTTGCTTGAGGTTGCTGACATCGTGCCAGGCTTCTTGCAACAGGATTCATTGGTGAAGCACCCGCTAACTGCATGCAGCACGTTATCGGCACGGCATCGAAACTAAACTGCGGTTGCTGCTGGAGCAATTCCACATCCACTCGATATGATGTGCGCCATCGGCTACGGCTCCAGTCCTTATAATCCATCGAGCCGCAGCACTGCTCCTACGAGTTCTTTCAGTTTTACTCAACTGCTATTTGCTTGTTTGTTCCAGCAACCAAGAACAAGGAACTAAACAGATACAGTACTACTAAAGCTCAGACCATCTGAACTTATCCTTCTTATTTATGTGTGCTGCTTTCAGGAGAACCACAAATGGAAGTTACCAACTTCACCATTTATCATTTATATTGCCAACTACGTAATTTCGATCTGCAGTCCCCGAAAATTTTCCATTTGCTTCTATTCATTTTTATACGTTTTTGCTGTACAGCGCTACAGCCCTGCTACAGTAAGCAAAAACGCATGTTGTTGACAGGTCGTCCGTGTGTGCGTGTTAAGAAACGAGTGAATTTTGTCACCCACTTTCAACTCAGCAACCAGTATGGCTGGGAGGCTGGAATTTTGGACGTATGTTACTACCCCGTGTGTTAACCCCCCCCC